GAGACTTGGATGAATGAGTTTATTGATAACTTTTCTATAGATATGTGTCAAAATTTAATGATGATCATTTGGAGTCCTACTCATATGGGTGTGGGAGGGTCTTATAGTATCATTACTCATAATAATATAATGATGTAATATATACATTTATATCTTGTCATATGCAATATACACTATCGTATCTTGGCATATGAAATATACACTTTCCTATCTTATTACTTTCCTGTCTTGCTTATCTTGTTACCATTTATGAATTGTCTTTCTATTATGGGTTTGTCACAAAGTTGGAAAAAGCTTTTATAGATTTTGAATTATGCTCTTAAATCTAAAGATTTTAAAATTAGTCAGATTTAGACCTAGTATATAGAATGTAATTTTAGTAATAATAGGAGTAGAGACGATGAAGTAGTTAAGATTGATGGTAAAAAAAACCAAAAGAGCGCACTTTCGATATCTTAGATTGATAATCAAGGAAAGTAGAGAGATTTATGAAGATATTGCATATAGAATTAGAGCTGGGTGGAGATGTGCGACCGGAGTTGTATGTTATAGTCGTATACCAATAAAGCTGAAGGGCAAGTTCTATAGGATAAATGTGGGACCATCTTTGCTTTATGGGCTAGAATGTTGGGTAGTCAAGAAACAACATACTCATAGAATGAGTGTAGTAGAGATGGATGAGTGGCATGGCAAGGAATAAAATTTGAAATAAATACATTTAGGAGAATTTAGGTGTTACCCCAACATGCAATAAGATGAGAGAGAGTAGGCTTTAGTGAACTGGTTTTATGTTGTGCAGACTCAATACAACACCTATTAAGAGATGTGAGTTAGTTCAAGTGGAAGGTTAAAAAGGACAAGGGGTAGGCTTAAGAGGACATGGTTGGAAGTAGTTAAAAAAGATATGGGGATTCATGATGTCAGTGAGGGTATGATCTTCAATAGAGCAGAATGATAGAACAAGATTTGTGTAGTTGACTCCAATTAATTAAAAAATGGCTCTGATGATGATGAAAGAAGTTAGTGGAACACTCATAGCCGTCCCATTTCACATCTAGCAACTAACAACAATTGTGATCACCATGTTTCAAAAGTGAACAGTCTAAGATGGATTTAAGATAGTCATTTTGATAGTCGTTTCCATTGACATGCTAAAATTCTAACTTTTATTTGTCAATATACCCATAAAATATTATTTATTTAATATACCCATAAAATATTATTTATTTAACAATTTACCCAATTGCAATTATTCCAAGTCACTATCTTATGTCTTATGTATTTTGAGGTTAAATTATAGGATATCGGTTAAATAGTTCATATCTCCAGGGAATTTAGATTTCCCTTTATTCATTCACTTTTAGATTTTTATGAGCACATAAGTGCACTGGGATCTGAACCACCCATTTGAGAAGGAACCTCATCTTAACCCTTCATGGGAGCGAATATGGTGCTGTTGATGACGCTCATGGAAACGGTATGGTCATAGGGCTTATCGCCATCCCTTCCACGGGTGGACGGTAATCTGTATCCATCAGCTACTAATGCAACAAATTTTCTCTTTCAAGAAAAAAATTAATGCCCCCAAATTTTGTCTATTGATTGACCACGATTAGCCATTCCTGGACGATATTTAGATCCAAGCATCTTTTAGTGACTCATGGTGTTCCTTAGATTTTATTATGGATGTTGCATATAAGTAATTTTTGTGAGTTACATAATTTTGTAACTTTGCCTTAAAAATAGAAAAGAAAAAAAAAAGAAAAAAAAAAAAAAAAAAATTAACACAAAGAGACCTTTAGTTCTAGTACAAGGAGGTCACAATTATAGATATCTATTGGATTTTAAATCGAGTGGTTGTGAGTGTATCATTGCCTAGACTTAAAGTTGAAAAATAAAAAAAATTACTAAACTTCATGACACCTAAACCATCTAATTGACATCTAATGATTAGAAGTAATTGTGACCTTGTAATAAAGATATGCAGTCTCATAATGTACAATCCAAAAAATAAAATGGTAGTATGGTGTACATTCTAATTCTTATTGTATGTATACTGCTCTATAATGCACTCTCGAAAAATAGTAAACGCGTGCTATATGTCTATTATATTTCCTAAAGGTGTAATTTATATAAGGTGGATTTCAACAAGGTCTATTTTTATTAGATGGTGTAAATTTGATATGTCTTTTATAATAACGTCAAAAAATAACACATTTTATAATCATGTAAAAATCGATATCATCTAAGATACAATGAATGGTACATATCATTCCAAGGTTGCAACCTTACATAAACATTTTTTCTATTCAAATTACAATTGTACCCTCCCTATTCTTAGCTGAGCATAAGGGGCCCTAGGCCATAAGCGTTGAAAAGTAAAAGAAGAAAACAAAAGACTGAGTTGTCTCAGCGGAGGTTGCGAAATTGGGTCGGCTACTCTTTTTTCCAACCGTGTGTCATAGGGTGTCAAATCCATCAACCCAGGGGTGTCCCACTTTTTGTCCAATTGATGCCTAATTCGTGTCCTATTCCTTTGTCCTTGAATACTCCCGTGTCCCCAGTTAAAAAAATCGTCAGGCCCGCTCAGAATTGAAGGGGTACTGGTTTTGATACGAAACACCTCAATAGTTTCAGGGTCCTAAAGTTCTCACATGTCTTTTCAGCTTTTTATATGTTAAGGGCAAAGTTTATATGTTTTTTCTACAATTATACTTGATCCAAACCTCCATTATGAATGCAGGGTTAAGATTACCTTAATCACAATGTTATATCTCTATACCATTATATTTTTAATTTTTTTATAAACTATTTTGACACCAAATTTTGGGTGTCCAATCCTCTATTAACCTCGCACTAACGAAAAATATAATTTTTTTTAATAAAATAAAATGACCAAAATACCTTTGAATATTTTAAAAGGTATTTTGGTCATTATATTTTATCAATAGATAATTTTTAATATTTTTTATATGTACGCCCCAATGAGAAGATAGGACTTACCAAATTTCATGTTCATACAATTTGTATAAAAATAAAATAAAATAAAATACTTTGAAACGTTGGATCTAAGATCAAGTGGTGAGTGGCTCTCTTGATCAAAATTGGCCGGTTGGATGGTAGGGAAAGCATAGGTCTTCTATGTTATAGGGGAAGTATAGAAACCTTTCTCATCTTTTAATATATAAAGATTGAGAGAACCAACGAGCTAGCTTAGTCGATTTCAAGCCGACTTAGTTACCAGTGAGTGACTGATCCAACCCACCTGTGTGATATTTAAAGCATTGTAGTCATCTAATTTATACCTGGAAGTATAGCTTCATTTGTGTTAAATATTGTGATACTATTTTTATCCATTTTTTGTTATGTTAATTAGCTTCACCAGTGATTTAAAAAATGCCGGGTTGGCACATAATCACTTGGTCCGATTTGGGAATCGATCACCGTGTGCTGGTTTTTTGAATAAATAAGAAATCGCCTGGGTTTAGAAGAGAACCAGCGATTTGTTATAGTAAAACGTCATTTTGTAGCAGTAAAAAATGCCGATTCAAACCGGTTTTTTATTGGTTCACTATTTTTACATGTGTTTTTTCACTGATTCACTATCATTAAAATGGCAATTTGAATCGCTGATTCACCGATCCGGACTGGTGTTTACAATGCCTGATCCTAGTCACCTATCCATATTTCAAATTACTATATTTTACAAATACTTCAATCTCTCCTACATCTCACCCGGTCAGTCCTTTGAAAGGAATGATATTGAGCTATAATGTTCAGATTGCGTTGTACAATGACTTATCAAAACCGTCCAACCAGTTTAGGGCCTTTAGGGACAGTACAAAAAAGTGTTGGACAGTGGATTTCCTAGGGGCATAATACGTTGCCTTTTTTTGTACGATAACCTGCTTCTTCATAACGGCAGATTTGACCCTTCGCATTTTTTTGAAATATTAACCACTCTTTTCTTTTTTTTTAATTTCAAAATTGATGTATAAAAGTATGAATGATCTTTCTACGTTGTATGGTTTATATAAGGTGGCAGCTTACTATGGAAGTAACATTTTGTTTGTACATTGTTCATTTTAGTTGAACTGTGAAATTTTAATACTATTTTAAGATAATATAAATAAATAATATGTCTTTTAATTTGCACCATTCAAATAAAATGTTAGCTTTATTTAAAGTAAGGCTGTAACTTTATATAAACTTTATCCTTACAAACATAGATAATTAGGCTATACAAAAATTAGAGCCACACAACCACTAGTGGGTTTTGTCAAAGCATCAGCCTCCAAATTAGTTTTTCCACAAAAATGAATTCTGCTTGCATAGGGTTAGATGTTTAATATAGAGCATGTAAAAAATGTACATATGTCTTAATTGCAATGTTTGGGTTCTTCAATTCCACTATTAAATTTGGTTTAGGCCTCTTGTCTTAGATGTTGAGGCGCAAGGCCTATAAGACAAAGTCTCTAGTTTATAATCCTATCAAACCTACTCGTAAGAGAGGAAAATAAATAAATAAGTAAATAAATAAAAATAAGAGAGAGAGTGAAAAGAGAGAGAGAAAAAGGGAGAAAGGAATTCTCCCATACATTTCACTTTACACTATTTTTGGATCTTTTAAGCTTCTTAGAGTGTTTTCTTATGCTTAGAGTTATTTGTGTCAACAATATATTCGAAGACTATAGGAATGGCTTTTAGGCATGAACGGGAAGGTGCCACATCGTGACGTCTAGAGTTCTATTTCTTATAAAGTCTTATGCTAACATTAAAAAAATTTATAATCTAGAACTATAAATCTAGGCCAAAAGCACCCATATATCCTAGATTCCATACTGAGATGTATCACTTCAATCTAGCCAACCATATCAAGTGAATATCTAACAATCTAAGAAACAAGGCAACATGCCCATTAATCAACTCTAGCTAATTTTAAGCTCCTGATTCTCCCAACTATTTCCTAATCTACTTTCCAACCATTGCCATTTGATCAGTTGGGTGCCGAGTTCGTTGGAACCTTTATCCTCATCTTCGGTGCCACTGCCGGCCCAATCGTGAATCAAAAGTATATTGGCGCCGAGACCCTTATTGGCAATGCAGCATGTGCAGGTTTAGCTGTGATGATAGTCATTTTGTCAACTGGCCACATCTCTGGTGCCCATCTCAATCCGTCGATCACAATCTCTTTCGCATTGCTTCGTCACTTTCCATGGTCCCAAGTCCCTACCTATATACTGGCTCAAGTCTCAGCTTCCATTTGTGCCTCTTTTGTGCTGAAAGGTGCCTTCCATCCCTTCATGTCTGGGGGGGTTACCGTCCCTTCAGGAAGTGACTGGCAAGCATTCATACTCGAGTTCGTCATATCCTTCAACCTCATGTTCGTTGTCACTGCTGTAGCAACTGATACTCGAGCTGTGAGTAATGCCAGTTCATGAATCTTACTTTTATTTTTATATTTCTTGAGTGTTTTCCTTTTTGAAAGTAAACTTTTCGGGTTCTTGCCTCTTCGATTTTTAAGGTGGGGGAGTTGGCGGGAATTGCAGTCGGAGCCACCGTGATGCTCAACATACTGGTGGCCGGGTGAGTTAAACATAGACCATTTGCCTTTTTCTTTGAGTTTTTTCAATTTCATATCCTTTTATGCTTAACATGGTGATGGAAAGGAATTCTCTGTGAAATGAATGTAAAAGAGAACATGTTGACGTTCAGATTTATCAGTATAGGAACTTACCCATTTTATTGCAGTTTAGCTTGAAATTTGGATGAGATGGGTATTGAAAAATGATAGAAGCTTGATAAATGGCTCAATTTTGGGGGATTTTTTTAGTCTTCAATCTAGAATTTTGAGAGAACGTGAAAATATCAGTTATCTAACAACACCTTTGATTAGAAAACAATTAAACCTTGAAATATTACAATATGTCAATACAATGACCAATTTATGGTCGGTAATCACTTTAATGGCGAGAAACATATGCAGGCCATCGCAAACATGCAAAGTAAATAATGAACCTAATCCACTAGAGCATCTTATATTTTTGGGTTGCCCCTACGCGAGTCTGCTAATTTAGATCTCATTCTCAAATGCATGACCCTAAAGCCATAAATTCAGTTCCGATCGTTTCATTTTAGCCATTGATTCATATTTTCTTAGGCTCCCTTAATGTCCCACTTTGCACAAAATGTGAGGCTAGAGAAACATGAATTGTACAAAATGAAAATGATCAGAAGATCCGGCAGCACCTTCTAAGCCCATCCTTCCCAATTCAACTGGTGTTTGTAAAGACCTCCAATTCAAACCCTACTAGTGGACGTCAAATAGCGTTTGGTTGGACTGCTAGCCTAGGTACTGCGGCTGGTAAGTGGTAACCCTTTTAGTCTTATTTTTAAGTAATTTCTTTTGTTTTATTTACTCGTTCCTTTATAACGGCCATTGTAGCCATTATAACCTACAATAGGGGCTGTTATAGCATGCCCCATAGGTAGGAAGATGATCTATGAGCCGACCGGCCTATAGCACAATATAGGCATGGTAGGAAGATGATCTATGAGCCGACCGGCCCATAACACAATATAGGCATGAGGGCCAAGATTGCAATAGGGCCAAGATTGAATACTTAGATGAGACCTACATGTATGTAAATGTTTGAGGTCCGTCCTAATTTTGATAAGAGTCGGATCTAGGCTGTCAAAATGTAGCACATTAGCTGACTCTCATAATTAAGCAAGAACTATACCAAAGAACTGGTATAATTTGATTGTTGACATGGTATAGATATGAAATGACAACTCTTATTTTTCTTTCCTTTCTTGATTCATCAATCTCTATCCCATACTTTCTTTGTGCATTTGAGATGTGATGGCAAAGTTGACTTTTCTATTCTTTCACAGAATGGGAAGTGGAGGTTCCATGAACCCGGTCCGAACCCTGGGGCCCGCCATTGCTGCTGGCAATTACAAAGCAATATGGATCTACATGGTAGCCCCCACTCTTGGGGCCATTACTGGGGCCGCCATCTACACATTTGTGCGTCTCAGAGGGGAGGATGGGGAGACACCAAGGCCTCGGAGCTTCCGTCGCTAGACACGTGTCTATCAATGGGACCCATGCTTTGGTAGTGATGCCATGTTATGCATGAAACTCTGCAAATCAATGACTCTTGTCTGAGTGTGTGATTGTGTTTGGCTTTATAGGCTCTTGGAGCTTTTTATGTTTAAGGTGATGTTTGGCGTGAAGACATAACATTATTACTAAGGTTTAGAGTGATGTTTGTGTGCAAGTGATAGTGAAAATAAATGTTCTTGTCGTGTATAGTGATGGCCTTTTCTTGTAAATTTTACAGTGTTTGTGTGTGTCGAAAGTGAAAAGCAAGGATTAAAGTAATTGGCATGGTTATCAATGTTTCTACAGGTTATCGAACTAGCGAGGAGTATAGTTTAATCAAAACGGGCTTGATTGCTTGTGAAACCGGTTCAATCAGTTTTAGAAAAAAATAAAAAAAATAAAAAATAACATTTTAAAATATGAAATATATCAATAGAAGTTTCTCAACTTTGTTTAGCATGTCAAATTGCGTTGTCTGACTAATCAAAATCAGCTAAATAATGATTTTGATTAGTTTTCGACAAGTGTTCACAAATTCGGCTGGTTGAATTCAGAACTGGCCGGTTAGATCGGAACCGGCTGGTTAGATAGGAACCGGGCACTAGCTGATTCCGAATTTGGTCAGTTTTGGTGATCTAGCCAGGTATTTTAAAAAAATTCAAACAAAATTATATAAAATCATAAAAATATAAAGGATTTATTTATAATGCGTTTTTAATGTTTTTATCATTTTGGCAAAGGTTGGAAAGCCTTTGGGCGATGAATACTTATTTTCACATTTCCCCTTTTTTTAGATAATTTCAAAAATATCCTTAGGCACAAATTGATTTTTTTAAATATATTTTTTCCACTAATTTTCAACTTTATTTGGATGTGCTTTGTTAATCATGCTTTAAATATACTTTTCATAATTTTTTTAGATTTTTTTTTGTACTTTTTTTCTTTTTTAACATTTTTTTTACCTGCTAGGAGTTGCCCGGTTAGGTAGGTTGAACCGGCCGGTTTACCAGTTACTTGGAACCGGCCTTTGGCTAGTTTTCGAGAGCCGTTCGATTTTCGAACACTATTTTTAATCAATATGAGCTTTTGTGTTAGACTAGACTGGCTATGGCATCGGTTCACGATCAGACCAGTTAGACCACCTTGATATATATGGTAATTGGTGTGTTTATTGTTGGCAAGTTTTATGGCTACTTATTATTATTATTATTTCTCATTTAATTAATGAAAAATTAGAATTATAAGATTTAACTTTTTGGTTTTTTATTTTTGAGTAATTCAGTGGGAATGACGAACCCCTACTCGCTTTCTAAATCATTAATGATTGTTTTGAAGGCGTTAGATAATGAAAGCCTAGACCTTAACTGGGACCACTAAGACCCCAACCCATTCTTAACTCTTTGTTTAACATGTCGTGGCAACTAAATAACCCAGGTAACTGCCTTCGGAAACTCTCCAATAAAAAGTTAACTAGGAAAACTGAATTGTTTTCATTTTATCCTAAGGTTTTACAATGCAACACGGAACAACCAAGAGTGAGAAGAAGGAAAACGAAAATACTATGGCTACGTACAATGTGTTTCTTCCAACCCTTTTGATTTGGAAAGCCTTCCATGTATCTTTGCCCACATAATTCATATATATGTTTGGTGAGTATGGCCATTAAAAGCTTTATGAGTATTTATAATAAAAAAAATATTTTGATATAATGGAACACGAATTCAGTAGAAGTGCGGTTCCTAATAGATTATGCTAAGCAAATGTCAGCAAATAACATTTGCTAATACCGAATTGAGCTTTACGAACTAAGCTAGTTGTTTGAAAAAAACCTATTTTACCTGGGTATAAAAAACTATCCGATAAGGTTCTAATAGGTCATCCCTTAATGAGGTAGGAGTATGCCTGGATGAGTGAGCCGAGAGACTATGTGACCATTATATGTGATGATGACATTCAGAGATGGGGGCAAAGCCTTGTTTTGAAAAAGCGAACTACCTTTTAGGGTGAAGTTTATGCATGTGCGAGAGATACCCCTATGCGCCATAGGAGCTGTGGTCATATCAGGTCTAGGTGACCTTGATACGTCTCTAGGGAAGAACTTGAAATCCACAAATTGGGATTACGACACATTGGCTCATTGGCCAGACTTTGGTGAGCCACTAATGAGCCCCTGCATGGATTGTGGGTTATAGAAAATATTGGGTCGGTTTAATATAGCAAGTATGGACCGTAATCCACAATTGAAGGTGAAAGGCCCCAATGTTTATTGAATTAGTTCCTAGACCATATGGATTCTTTTCCCATCTAATGAAATTAATTATGCTTGTTTTATGATATATATGATTTTAGAATTATTATATAAATTTTCTAGATATCTGGATATTTTATTTATCGAATTTGAATTTATAAAAATAGAGATATTGATTTTACATTGATTTAAATATTCAAATAATTCTAAAATTCTTCTATTGAGTTTTAAAAAAATATTTAAAATTACATAGGGGCCCATTGTGCACATATGCCTACTATAGCCTAGGTGGTGGGGCCCAAGAGATCCTCTCATGGGTGGCATGCCCCACCCATTTAGGGGCTTTCTATTTTTATTGTGATAAGTGACTTTGGCTTGAAGACCAAGTTGTTATGTATTTTGGAAAGCTATTGGCTTGAGGAAGTTTTGAATAGATTTTTGGAAAGCATGAGAAGGCTAGTACATTATTTTGGTATGCACAATATTATATTTGAAATTATTTTATTTATTTTCTATTGATGGAAAAATAGTTTAAGAAATGGGAATAAAGGTTCTAGTATCTTCTATGATATTGACGACCCATCTATAGAATGAAGGGCTCAAATTGTTTACCCCACAAGTCACCCAAGATCAATGGTTCATATTCAATCTCACAAAAAGAGGTAAGCCATGTCAAACCCTAAGAAACCTTAATCCTATTTTCGTACTATAAATAAAAAACCACTTGCCTATAAATCTCTACACCAAAAATCTCTCTTCTCTCTAAATATTTCTCTCTCTCTTTGGTAACTATAAGAGGCATGCCCCAATCCTAAAATTTCTCTCCCTCTCTAGACTATAGTAAGGGGCACGCCCCACTTAGATGGTATTATCTCTCTCTCTCTCTCATCTTGCCTTCATGATTTAAAGGGTTGGGAAGTAGTAATAAGTAGATGCTATCTCGTTAAGTTAGGTTTTGTGGGTTTGTACCTAAGTTGAGTTTTGTGATCAAGAGGAGTTCCTAGTTCCATTGGACGGCTTGACCTAAACTTGTTTTTCCGGTTGAGATTGCAAGTTGATCGTTGATCCCGCACCATCGGATGATGGTAATTCGGTGTGGGGTGTAATAAGCCCGATTATGATAATATCAAGCATTCTCTTTTATTTCTTATTATATTTAATTATATTATCTTTATATTCCCAAGCATAAGACTTGTGATTATTTCTTTGTTTAAAGAAAATTAGTTTAGTGGCATCAAGGTTTTTAAGGTCTTAGTTTTGCTTGTCTTATTTTCTTTGAAGCAAGACTTATTGTAATAAGACTACTTGTAAGTGAACCTTGTCAAAAGAAAAGGGTGAAAAGAATAATATATATATATATATATATAATCCTATAGGACCCTCTCCCACCTATGTGTGTAGGACCCTAAAAGATCACCATTAAAGTTGGCATATATATCTAGAAAAGTTATCACATAGGTGTGGGACTTGACTTTTCTAGAGATCCATACCAACTTAATGGTGATCTTTTGAAGGTTCTACACACATGGGTGAGGGAGGGTCCTATATGATCATTTATCTATATATATATATAGTAACGATCCTATGGGACCTCCCCACACCCATATGTGTAGGACCTTCAAGATCAGAAGATTGGATGTATGTGTAAATATATAAATTACGTGAGTAAAGACAAAGAGAGTCGTACTCTTGTTTGAGAACCCTTACTACGTGTCTTCGCGTACGCATAGTTTAAGCAAGTCCGGAAACCTACATACTTTTGATTAAGGAGTGATACATGCATTGTTGTAGTCTGTACTGGACCTGCAAGTCCTTGAAAGGAGAAAACAGGTGATGATGCAAGTGATGATCCAATGGATGGATGTTCCACTCGAAGATAAAACATAGAAGTTCAACCAAAGGCGATCCTTGAGGAAAAAGGGTTTGGTTCATTGGAGGGAAATGAGACGTCCTTATCATCACTGATGCTTTGGATATTTTAATGTGTCTACACCTCCATATAACTTTAACGTGTCGGAAGACCTACAAATATTTCATCTTAATTGGATGTTTCAAATAGCTGAAAAAACAATGTTACAAACAATATAGTTGGGTTTGTCAAACCATAATTAATGTAAAATTATTGTTAGCTCTCTCACCGATCAAGATTAAATGGGTCAATGTTTCTAACATATATAAATTAGATGCATGTGAGACATAATTTACCCCTAAACTTGAGTTGAGGGGATTCAAAACCTCCTTTAGGTTTGCGCTTGAAACAAAATATAACTTTGAAAATAAAGATAGTAAAAAAAGAGGTTTCATCAAATAACCGGATTGTAGAAAACTGGCCTTTTGACCTCTTCCTTATGGACATACACCAAAACATTTTTGAAACTTGACAATGCTTTAAATCCAACAAAACTATTACCAAGGCATGCAACAAGAGAAAATCAACAAAAGCGAAGAGACCTAACCTACTTGGACGGGCACGCACCCGGCATCCAGAGTTGGGGTTCTGAGTTAGACCAATTAGGTTCATGCACCAGCTGCTTCCACCTTGAAAAATGATGATCGAAGCAGAGTAACAGTTATATTGAGAATTTTTTGAAGTAATATAAGGAAATGTGATTCTTGTCAAAAAAAAAAAAAAAAAAAGGGTTGGCTTACCTTGAGATTGGGCTCTTAGATTTTGAATAACTTCAAATTTGAATAGAGTTACCTGAAAAGGGGTGAAATGGCTAAGGGCTTAAAGTCGCCAAGGATTCGGTTCTAGGGGTCACTATGGGCCTATATGTGAAGGCTTTTGGGCTGCCTAAGAAAGATGAAGTAGGGTAGTTGGTGTCTCAGGTTGGTTTAGGGCTTCACGTCTAAAGGCTAATAGTTAGGGCTTGAGCTGCTTAGAAAAAAGATAAAAAGAGGTTCAAGAGTTCAAAATATCAAAATTTTGACCTTGAAATTTACTTCTTTGAGGGTACATTTAGAGTTTAGGACTTATAGCCCCAGCCTCCAAGTGATAGCTCGATTCAAGCCAGCCATTGGTCTCCCATGCAATGTGTCTGTCACGTGTGGCAATGTCATAATGGGCCCCACCAGAGGTGGTTTCTTGCCTACGATCGTAAAGAGCCCGTTTTTTGCCATTTGAGTGGTTTTAGGGTTGAGAATTTTTCGGATCGGGTTTGGATCCATCTAGATCCGGATCTGAATTCAAAAAGTATATATAAGATCCAGATCTAATTAGATTCATAATGTTTGGATCTGGATCCTGATTCAAAAACTAGCCATAGGATCTGGATCTGAATCCGGATCCACTAAGTTCCACAATTTATATATAGATATTATATACAAATTAACAAATATACAACACACACACACACACACACACACACACACATATATATATATATATATATATATATGAGTAATAATCCTATAAGGTCCACCCATACCTATGTGTGTAGGACTTCAAATGATCACCATTTTGGCACAGATTTCTAAAAAAATCAAGTCTCATACCCATGTGATAACTTTTCTAGATATCTGTATCAAATTTAATGGTTTTCCTTTGGGGTCCTACACACATTGATGTGGGAGGGTCTCATAGGATCATTACTCTCTCTCTCTTTCTCTCTCTCTCTATATATATATATATATAATTAGCCGACCCCAATTAATTGGAAATGGCTATGATGATGATATGGATATAAAGTGATATATGCAATTTTAATGATCGGGGTTGGATCCGAGTCGGATCCACTATACTTGGATTTAATCCAAATATTATGCAGATCCAAATGTTAAATCCAAATTTGAATTTTGGATCCAAATCTTGGATCCATACCCAGATCTGAATAGAATCCAAATTTTAGGTTTCGGATCCGAACTGGGTAAATTCTCAGCTCTAAGTGGTTTTGTGGCCTTTTTTCAGTGTTATCCTTCTAATTTTTTTTTCTTTATTTATTTTCAAATGCCATTTTACGTTTTCATAATTAGGAGGCTATTAAAGGGTTGATTGGGTGTTTAATGCTGCATTGAGATATCCTAATATAGGGTTAAGGTAAATTTAGAAGTTTTTCAAGTGGTTAGCCCAATTAGGGTGGTTCGGCCTATTCAGGCGGGCTGCCCTAATGGTCTAGGCTAAGTAGGAAGATTTTGCTAATAGGCTTTAGGTTAATTAAAAGGGGCACTAATGATAAGGGGTTATTAGGTATTTTTAGAAAGTGTTTGTGGTGTATGGAGCATAAGATTATGGTGGGCTACGGACTAGTTAGGTGACTGTGATCCCTGGCTGGGTTTTAGTTAGAATTGATGCACTTTAGTAATTAAAATGATGATCTCAGCAGTAAAGTCGGTCTTGGAGAGGTGACTAGGTTTGGATACTACAATTTTAGGGTTTTGGGTGCCTGAAATTCCCTTAGCCAAAGTTGGTTTATAGAAAGGTTGTCATTTTATTTGGGAGACTTTTCTATATATCTCTATTCACATATAATTTATGTATTTAGATACATACAACAAGTAAGGTGTCGACCCGATCCAGGTCCCAGTATAACAAAATTCTTTAAAGATTGATATGAGGACAATTTGGTATTTGGAGGTCAAGGTCCTGGTACGGGCCCAGTATAACAAAATTCGTTAAGTATTGATATGAGGAAAATTTGTTATCACTAGGAGGTCAATGAACTTAGGATTGTGCACTACAGGCTCGACTAAACATCAAACATATATAATGAAAGGGGAGAGAACCTTTGATTTAATAAAGTAGAGATAATAGATGTAAAGAGAAAGTAGAGATAATAGAAGTAGAGATAATAGATATGATGGAGAGATCATAGAGACATCCGCCTAGCCATGAGAGAGGTGACAGCAGCTCCACCCCCTCATTGGTAGAGGGGAAGAGTGTGGCCCACATTCATCATAGAGAGAGAGAGTGTGTGTGTTCCACAAAGGCGTATTCTGTTGATCTTGGTGTCAAGTTATGTGCTTCTTGAAAGAGGATGATGTTTTAGGAATGACACTTAGTACTAGGTGGGTGGTCAGAGGGGATGGATTCATGGATTCATAACATGACATTTAGTAGTAAATTTCTACCAATGTCTCTCATAAACATTAAGAAAATGACCAGTTTTTTGTGCAGCCAAGCCCACATAGGTAGAAATACGGGCCTATTAATAAATCTATTTTTGAGATAGATTTTTGGACTTACTTTTTTAGAACATGTAATTTCTAACATGGAAATCATGGATATGAAAAAAAAAAAAATTTAAAAACTAGAAATAATAATTCTAGTAAAAAAACATTTGGACCGTTAGTTTCCATTGTTTTTAGATAGAACACCTACTTGCATCCATCTTTAAGATGGATGGTTTACACATTTTGGACCGTGTATGTAGTCATGCAGTCCAGCCCGCATGAAACAATTGTCCTTAAGAAAAAATTCCAAAGCTTTGGCTCTAAATTGAAAGGACTTGAAATGACCTAAATTGTCTGGACATAGAATGAAAAAAAAAACATATATAGAAAATAATTTTTTTATCAAAATACTCTTAAAAGTCTCAACTATTTAATATTTTATTTATGAGCTATGTTAAGGTGTTCATACTACAGAGCATTTTATAATGTACTCAACAAATTGTGGGAGTGATGTCACACCCATGCTAATGACAAAAAATCTTTATTACTTAAAACAATACCCCATATACAAAACAATAATATATAAGTATCAAAAATTTGTTCAACACCGTTATAAAATACTCTATAGTTTGAACACCCTAACATAACCCTTTAACCTTTTATTTATTTATCAAAATAAACTTAAAATATCAACTACTAGAACTCATGATAACAGGGAGTTTTATATGTGCAATCCTAGATACACATGTCCAAATGGTTCTCTTCAAAAAGTTCACCTTAGAGATGGATTCAGAATCCAAAACACATGGTAAGTCACTTTAGACGCCTTTTTGCTTTAGATTCATGGATTTATAGTCCAAAATTTGTGAAGATCTAATGGTCAAAGAGTTAAAGTGAATAGTCCAAAATTTAAATTTTGAAAAAAAACCTTTAAGATATAAAATCTATTTTTTTTTCATGTTCATAATCAAGGTTGAAATCATGGACCTATCAAATCTTAGATCCAAAATCAAATGGATTTATGAAAGGTGTGGTTTGTATAGAGCCGAGGCTCTAAACAATCAAAGTAAAATACACCTTCAAATAGTATCGAGAAATATAGTTTCAATACTAGAAATCATTGTGATAGCTTTAAAATATATTTTCGCCTTCAATTATAAAATGTAACGCTTCAAAAATTATGTAGATCGAACAGATATATAAAAATTTGAAAATTGACGGTCCAAAAATGCGTCACAAGATGAACTATTTTTAAAACGAAATCCATTTTTTTCTCATGCCCATGCGTCTTGAAGTCTAGATGATCAATTTGAGGATATTTTGGCATCAAAACAACCTCTTTAAGTGAAAATTTTGAAGTGGGCTCTAATTTGATTGTTTAGAGCCTCGGCTTTATATAAACTTTTTCCTTTATGAAAAGGACCTCATTTGAACAGGTGCACTTTGACACATCGAATCCTACCCCGGTATAATATGATGAACATCATTATGCCAACCATGACTCATGGTTATTTTGCTATAGCGAAAAAAATAAATAGGCTTAAGGTGTGGTCAAGACGGCCGGTGGCACAACATGAGTCTTGAGTTCTATTCCTACCATAAGTAAGGACTATTTTTGGATTATTACCTGAAAAAAAAAGAAAAAAAAAAATAGAATTAAAGATGCAGCTAAAAACTCCATTGAAAAAGGTTGTTTTAATGTTGAAAAACCTTCTATTTGATCACCTCGACATCAAGGTGTATGAATATGAAAGAAAGAAAAGATTTTGAATCACAAAAATAGTGCATATTGCAACACATTATTTAGACCGTCTATTTTCAAGATTTTGATATATTTATAGATCTACTTGATTTAACTATTTTTTGAATTTAAAATTTTATATTTAGATATAAAAATAGATTTTCAGATGATCCTAAAATTTTTTTACACCAAAACTACGTATTATGATAAAAATTGGAGGTGCTCATTGTTTAAGGTTGCAACCTCATAGAAACGACACCCAAAACAAAAAGACGCATGCCTCTTTGGTCTTGAACTGTGGTCCAGTTAATGGATCGAGACGGTGACGGAGAAACATTGGACGTAAATTTCATTATTGAGTTAAATGGTGTACCCCACTCCCTCCATCACCGTCAGTAGTTTGTTCTCACGGTGATAAACTTATAGTTGCATCATACTTTAGCCCGCAAGAAACAATTTTCCCAATAATTATATATCCCTTTCGTTCGATACGCTCCATGTTTCGCCATTTTAGATGAGAAAAAAATCTTACCCTCTCAATCCTTTGCAACTAAATCGAGAGCATAAATGGTTTATGGTATCATCAATTCTTCGTCAATTCTATTGCCTAAGCCAGCAACAAGCTTTGCTATCAGATCAGAGCAATCCACTACTGCCACTGATGTATCCATGAACCCTACAAATTGTAGGCCCTCGCCTTCGAGACGCCGCGAATTCGTATTCATCGTTAACCCTAAAGGTCCCTTATCGCTTTTCTCTGATATATAAAATTTTTGTGATGTCTGTGTGTTTTGTTTTTTATGACATGGATTAAGGGATATGAAGTTGTGATTTATTTATTTATTGAATTATTTGTGATTTTTGTAGGCGCCAATGGCCGCGCAGGCAAACAGTGGAAGAAAATATTGCCATATCTCAAGTCTCACTTGGGAGAAGAATACATTGTGAGTTATTTCGATGTTTATCTATTGATAATTAGGGATTTTATTGATTATTGGTTATTGTGCAAAGTTGGTTAAGTTAGAGGCATATGATATGCAGATTTCACAGTTATTTCATAATCACCATTGTAAGCTTGCATTGCACATTATCTAAGTTGGAATACCTATATATGTACACTTGCTTGCATAACTAGTATACAGGTACAAACGTTCAAGTTACACACTTGTGTGCTTCTGTAAATGCAGATATCACACACGCACGCCACACATGCACCTAAAACATAATTTCCATTAGCTGGAAAATGAGGGATAAATTCCTTATATAAATGGTTAAATGCACACCAAAAAAGTACTGAAATTACCCCTATAGAAATATGTGCATCCACATTTTTTTGGGAGTTCAGCAGTAGGAATCGAATGCAATCTTCCACTTCTAACCAATCAAGCCCAAGCCTGAGCCCGATTCCTATATAATCTTTTCTGCATAACCAAAATACTTTTGATGGTGTATAAGTATGACAGGCCGATATATGCAATACTCGCAATATGTAATGACAAACTACTTTTTAACTTGGGAAAACTCACCAAGTCAACCCCACTCTGCAACTTCCAAGTTCTATAAACTGGAAAGCTCAATTCACCGGAGTTTGTGTGTGTAAACTAAATTCGTCTGTTGATGATGAGAACATCTACAAAATTGGGGTCAAACAATCCCCCTAAATAATTTTTTTTAGATTTTTTGGCTTGTGAGCTAATGCTCTACAAATCAACTAAGGAGTCCACGCAATCCTCTCTCTCTCTCTCTCGCTCTCTATCTA